CAAAGGGCCCAGCCAAAAGAAAACACTCAATATCTGTAAATTGAATTCAGATGAATTAAGCTGGGAGCAGGTATCACATAAGGCCTCAAAACAGCAGTTCATGGGCAAATGACTTCGAACGTAACATACAGCACAGTATAAACAGCAAAGGAGACCCTGCCTCAACAAGGTGGAAGATGAGAAGCAGCTCTTTAGAGTTGTCATCTGACCTCCACCACTGCACAAACACGCCCCACTCACATACATCACATGTGAGCATACACACACGCCAAATGTTTAAAGACTGTGGTTTTCACGCAGAGCACTGTCTCTGGGGCAGAGCGTCCCTGTGTAGCTGAGGACGATCTGAACATACTGTGCAGCACTCTCAGTGGAAGGAAGGGAATGCGGCTCAGCAGCAGCACGAGGAGCTCCCACTCTCCCACAGGGGCCTTCAGTCAGACAATGCCAAGTCCTTGACCATGCAGCGCATAACAGGATTTTAGGATGAAGTCAGACATGGAGGCACACACATATACAGGAGAGGAAACAGGAGCTTAAGGTCAGCCTCAGCTACAGCAAGTTCAAAGGCAGTCTTCAGACTCTGAGACTGTCTAATAAACAAACAAACGAAACAGTAACTATCAAGAGCCAAAGAGAAGCAAAATTAGTGAGTTTACAAAACAAGTGTCTAGGCAGAGTGGCACATACCTTTAATGTCAGCACTCAGGAGGCAGAGGGAAGTGAATCTCTGAGTTTAAGGCCAGTTTGGTCTGCATAGTGAGTTCCAGGACAGCCAGGGCTCTGAAAAGAGATCCTACCCAATTAAAACCCCCCAAAAAAGCAAAGAAAATACAAGTGATAGAATTGTAGGGTCAGCCGGACGATGGTGGCGCACACCTTTAATCCCAGCACTCAGGAGGCAGAGGCAGGTGGATCTCTGTGAGTTCGAGACCAGCCTGGTCTACAGAGCTAGTTCCAGGACAGGCTCCAAAACCACAGAGAAACCCTGTCTCGAAAAACCAAAAACCAAAAAAAAAAAAAAAAGAAAGAAAGAATTCTAGGGTCAACCCCCAACTCAGTCCTACAAAACTCCAGACCTATATTTACTTGTTTATTGAATGTTGCACTTAGATGTCTAATAAGCTTCCCCAGCATTAACTGTCAGGATAGCAACGAAGTAAAATAAATACATCTAGAAATATTTTTTAAAAAATAAAATTATAAGTAAGGTGCATTTATTTAGATTTAGGTATGAGAAAGAGTTAAACTCAATGTCACAAATACTTTGGCCCTAAGAAAACACAGAATGGAGCCAGGTGGTGGTGGCATCTACCTTTAATCCCAGTACTCAAGAGGCAGAGGCAGGCAGCTCTCTGCGAGTTTGAGGCCAGCCTGGTCAACAGAGCAAGTTCCAGGACAGGCTCCAAGCTAAAGAGACACCCTGTCTCTTAAAAAAACAAAAAGGAAAAGGAAAAAAGAAAGTATAGACTGGTTTTTATTTTAATTACATTTATTTACTTGGTGTGTGTATACATGTTTGGGTCTGCGGAAGAGATGATGAGCTGTGGAGGCCAGAGGACTGATCTCGAGTCGCCACCCTCTGTCTGCGGCAGGCATGCATAGGAGATAGCAGAGCTGAGGACCCTATTTGAGTTTGGATTATAAATATACACATGCATCCTCTTGTAACAATACACTTGACACCCCAGCTCCTTCACCTGTATGTACTATACACATGTTCCTCTCCAAACAATATACCTAGCAAACTCAAAACCTCAACCCCCAGTCTGCATCAGGCTACACATACTCCTATCTCTGAGCAGAAGTTTCTCCACCCCTAGTAACAATCAAATTTAGACAGTTTCTATTTAAGTGTGTGCCCAATATATTCAGATATGAAGAACAGAAGGAACAATCTGGTCTGAACTGGTTTTGGATGATGTGCAGCAAAGCAAAATATCTAGAAATGTTTTAAGGAGAATCCTCTATTTACCATCTCATGATGCCTATGCATAGCTGTATGTGCATATTTCTAAAATCAGATACGTTATGGGAAAGGACATGTGCACTAGGAAAAGTCAATACATGAACTAATCTATCAATCAAAGAAGAAAACCACCTAAACTATACAGCCCATTGTAACCAGCCCCACCTTCCTTTAGACTCAAAAAAAAAAAAACCTGCAAGGTGCATCGTGAGCCCTTGAGTGCCCTCACTCATATGACCTACTGTCTTTTGTAATCATTTTATAGAGGGATACTCATAAAATGTATTATTGATTTGCTCCAAATAAAGATAGCATGCTTCTTTTGTAAATCTTTGTGAGCCCTTATCTACTGGCTTGAGAAATGTCTCCCATAGACTCATACTTAGTCCCCAGTTGGTGGTGCTGTTGGGGGAGGTTGTAGAACCTTTAGTGGGTGGAGCCTTGCTGGAGGAAGTACATCCCTCAGGGTGGGCTTTGAGAGTGACAGCTGGCTGCACGTCCCCTGTCTGGCCAGCCACTCGCTCCGGGCCTCCTTCCCTCCAGAGCTGTAAGCCAAATACAGTCTTCCTTTTCTAAGTCATTTTTAGACTAGTCTTGGTGTCTATCACAGCCACGGAAAAGGCACACCTTATTTCTTCAACTCTTTGAATGAGAGGAAACGAACACAGAAACACTCAACCTTGACCCTGCCCACCCAACCCCAATCATTAGTAACACTTGTACCGCGGGAGAGTCCCAGGGATCAAATTCAGGTTGTCAGGCGTGGTGGCAAGCACCTTTACAGACCGAGACAGCCCTTTTCTGCTTTTACGAGTCAGTGACTCACGTGTCTTAAACTAGCCTTGAACTCCTGGTCTCCCAATTCTATCTCCCAAACTGTCGGTTAACTGGCCTGCCTTGCCACACCCTGCTTAGTGTGTTGTTTCTGATCCTTTGAGAGGTCTTCAGGAAGACAAGCACTATCTCAGTAAGCAACTTTGGCTCCTTTGGTTATTTTGAAATTTCAACTCTCAGTAGGAAAAGCAAACTAGAATCCTGGATCGGGGCATCTGTCACTTCACTGTCTGCCTGAAAATGATGCCTAAAGTGAGGCATGAGTGCACACCTTCAGTCTCAGCACTCGGAACGCAGAAGCAGGTGAACCTTTGGGAGTTCGAGGGCACTCTGGTCTACTTAGCGAGTTCCAGGATAGCCATGGCTACATAGAGAGAACTTGCCTCAAATAATAATAAGATACCTAATATAACAGTAATATAATAATATAATATATATATGATAATATAATAATAATTCAAGTCTGTGCCCTACTTTACTCCATTATCATGTGAAACAGTGGCTTTTCAGATTCGATCTCTTTGTCTTGCCTTGAGAGATTCCATTTTACAAGCAGCTTGTTTTGTTTTGTTTGTTTTTCGGAGACAGGGTTTTTCTGTGTAGCAATGGAGCCTGTCCTGAAACTCGCTCTGTAGACCAGGCTGGCCTTGAACTCACAGACATACACTTGCCTCTGCCTCCTGAGTGCTTGGGTCACCGCCGCCCAGGAAGAATAAATTAAAATCTTATCGAGAAAAACAGGCCCAAGAACTTTGATCAAACACCACAGACCAAGAAGAGGATCTAACTCCCTCATCTGGACCCCATAGAGTGACTAAGACTGAGATGGCATTAGCCTCCACTCTGACCTCAAAAACATGATGGCAATCCTCCTGCCTCAGCCTCCAGGGTGATGAGACCACAGGCATGCACCACCATACCTTACTTTTTATTGTTTGGGTTTTGTTTTGTGGGTTTGTTTTGTCTCGTTGAGGATCTACTATAAAAGAGGCTTGCCTTGAACCCCTGGTCATCCGCATCCACTTCCAGAGTACTTCCGTGGCCTCAAACAGTCTCCTTGTGTAGCCCAGGCTAGCGTCAAATTTGCATTTCCCTCGCCTTAATCTTGAAAATTTGGGAATTTTAAATATGAGCCACCTCGATCAGCTACTTTTTTTTGAGCGAACTATATAAGATAGACAAGTTTATTACAGAGTAACGTGTCATCAAGGGATGGCAGTGGGCAATGGCAGAGACCGCTGGGGAACAAACCACTTTAATGGGGTGAGAGTAAACAATAGCCAGAGAGACAAGTGTCCTAATTTACATTTTACGTAGGCTTTATACTATTATAAGCCTCTAGCAGATAGTTTACCAATGGATATTTTCCTGTCCGGGTGACTGCCGGGTGTGTTTGGATTGACTATTTTGAGAGGGAAAATGTGCGCTTTTGTTCTTTATCTGAAAGCCTCCTGCTATGTAGTAATCTCAGGAGCTCTTGGAATCAGACTTAGATAATCACCAATTAATGACCTTCTGGGCATTTCAGGATGTCACAGGTCTACCCAGGGCCTTAGATGAGCCCTCTTGCTGACCTCTGAATTTCCCCCTAACAAGCTTTATTTAAGAAAGAGCCTCTTGCCGGGCGGTGGTGGCGCACGCCTTTAATCCCAGCACTCGGGAGGCAGAGGCAGGCGGATCTCAGTGAGTTCGAGACCAGCCTGGTCTACAAGAGCTAGTTCCAGGACAGGCTCCAAAGCCACAGAGAAACCCTGTCTCAAAAAAAAAAAAAAAAAAAAAAAAAAAAAAAAAAAAAAAGAAAGAGCCTCATATAGCCCAGGCCGGCATCGACCTCCTGATCATACAACCCCTAACTCCAACTCCCCTGTGCTGAGACAAAGGGCCTGTGTACCATCATATCTGTCTTTCTGTGTGTGTTTATGGGTTTTTGTTTTTTTGTTTTTGTTTGTTTGGTTGGTTTGGATTCTCGAGACAGGGTTTCTCTGCGGACCAGCCTGGCCTCAAACTCACAAATGTCCGCCTGCCTCAATGCTGGGATTCAAGGCGCACGCCACCACAGCCGGCTACCACGTCTGCTTTAACGAATTCCTAAATAAAACAGTTCTAGAATCTGGTCCTTCGGTTCCCTACCAAAGAAATGGGAGAAATTTTCCTACATATAACAAAAAGAAATGATTAGTGTCAGTCAGCGGCTCACCGTGAGCAAAGATGAGAGCCCTGAGCTAAGAACTGCCTGGAACGAAGACGCCTTGGCGTAGTAATCACCATCCACGGTTTTTCCTCCAGGTCACCGCACTCACTGCAAAGTTCCACCGGTATCAAAACAAATTGCGCCTCAGGGTTCCGCCCCAACGTGGTTTGCAGAGCCCGAACCTCGCGAGATTTGCTGACCGGGTCAAATCCCCGCTTACCCGCCGCTCACAGTAGCGGGCGCATGCGCAGCTCTTCAACGGCGAGGCTTGCGGGAAAGATGGAGTGTTCTACGCCTGGTACTACGGAGGCTGCGGACCCTGGAGGGGCCGGACCGTACAAGAGCTCCGAGGAGCAAGAGGGTCGGGAACCGGACGGAGTGCACTTCGACCGCGAGAGGGCGCGCCGCCTGTTGGAAGCGGTGTCCGGTGCTCAGCCGGCAGGGAGGGAGGAAGGTGAGTCGGGGGCTCCGGGGTTCGTGGCTGGACGGAGGCGGGGCGGCCTGCAGCCTGTCCCTGGCCTGACGCGGGCCAGCCTCACTCTGCACGACATCCCGGACCTCGAAACTCGCTACCCTGCGGAATTTTCGCATCCACACGAGGGCAGTTTCCACCAAATTCCAGGTCTTGTCCTCTTGGAGATCAACAGGACTTGCCCAGCCTGACCCTAGCCGAGCCAACTACCATTCCCATCTGTCCTTAATCCTACATCTCCACATTGCTTCCCTCTCTTTCAAAGCCCTACCTACAGTTATGACGGATCTGAACGGCTTTATTCAATTTACTTTATTTTTATTTATCATGCGATGCCTCTCAAACTCGTGGCACGCCTCCTGCCCTGTGAGAAATCTGAGCTTTGGAAGGTCTTCCTGAATCCCAGCCTCCTCTTGAGCTTGATGACTTGATGCCATATTTCTTTCTTGATAGACCTGACTAGCCTTGAACGTGCCTCAGCCTCCTTAGTGCTGGTATGCTTGGCTTGCACCACCATATTCCTGCAGTATCGTATTTCATGCCCTGCAATACCATATTTCTATGTGCCTGTTGCCAAGCCCCTATTCCAAAGAGGAGATCCAGGAGCTGGAGAAACTGGCCTAGGTAATCTTGTCTCCAGATGGCACATCTCACCCTGGTGCAGAGTTGTGGAGAGCAGTGTACCCAGTTCGGGTTGGTACACTTCTGAGCTGAAGTGAACAGATGCTTTCATTTGACCCAGAACTGAGTGAGTAACAAGGGATGGAGAAGAACAGCAAGAGTCGGCCTCTTTCTCAGTCCTTTCCAGAGCTAGCTACTTAATGCTAACCCAGATGTACAAAAACTGTATCTGGGTTTCTGTGCTAATCGGATCTTTGCAGAGAAACCAGATTTCTGTCCTGGTTGGTTTGCTTGCAGACTAATCTTGGAAAGTTCAATGTTTGTGAACTGCTCTCCCTGAATAAGATTGTAATTTTTGACCATGTACAAGGGAGACATGTTTAAAAGCTTTTGCCTGTGTGTGTGCATGTGTGAGTGTGTGCCCTAAGTGTCTGTCAGGTACCCAAAGAGGCCAGAAAAGAACATCACATCCCCTGAAACTGGAGTTACAGACCATTAGGAGCTACCATTTGGGTGCTGAGAACTGAACCCTGGCTCTCTACAAATGCAGTAACTGCTCTTATCCCCTGAGGGATGTCTCAGAATTGGAGGGATACACAGAAAGGAAGTGATTTTGGAGATGGGAAGAGTGTGCCCTGGACCCTGAAGCCGAGAACACAGCAGTTGCTTAATGAACTATTTGTTTGCATATGCATGAGCACAGTGCATACCTGATAATACAGCCCAGTATTGTGCATGAGCACAGTGCATACCTGATAATACAGCCCAGTATTGTGCATGAGCACAGTGCATACCTGATAATACAGCCCAGTATTGTGCATGAGCACAGTGCATACCTGATAATACAGCCCAGTATTGTGCATGAGCACAGTGCATACCTGATAATACAGCCCAGTATTGTGCATGAGCACAGTGCATACCTGATAATACAGCCCAGTATTGTGCATGAGCACAGTGCATACCTGATAATACAGCCCAGTATTGTGCATGAGCACAGTGCATACCTGATAATACAGCCCAGTATTGTGCATGAGCGCAGTGCATACCTGATAATACAGCCCAGTATTGTGCATGAGCACAGTGCATACCTGATAATACAGTCCAGTATTGTGCATGAGCACAGTGCATACCTGATAATACAGCCCAGTATTGTGCATGAGCACAGTGCATACCTGATAATACAGCCCAGTATTGTGCATGAGCACAGTGCATACCTGATAATACAGTCCAGTATTGTGCATGAGCACAGTGCATACCTGATAATACAGCCCAGTATTGTGCATGAGCACAGTGCATACCTGATAATACAGCCCAGTATTGTGCATGGGCACAGTGCATATCTGATAGTACAGCCCAGTTCATTTCCCTCCCCTCACTTCTGGCTCACTTACCTGCAGCATTTACATTCTGCCCACTTTTTTCCTTGTAGCATCTTCACTGTTATAATTTATATATCATGAATTCAACCGTTATAGGTGTACCACTCAAATGATTTAAAATGTCTTTTACTTTTAATTATGTCTATATGTGTGCCCCTGCAGAGTGGATACAGACACATTGGATCCCTTGGAACTGGCGCTACAGTTGTGAGCCAGCATGGGTGCTGTGAACCAAACTCAGGTTCTGAGTCTGAGGTCTGCAGCCCCCAACTCAGTATTTTATTTTTTTCTTAAATTTATCTAGAGAGTGTGTGGCATGCATGCTCATACATGTACCATGGGTGTGTGTATGGAGGTCGAAGAACAAGAGCTCTCAGGTGATGGTTCTCTCCTCTCACCATGTGGTTCCTAAGGATCAAACTCAGGCTCTTAGGCTTAGTGGCAAGTTCACTTACCCAGCAAACCATCTCACCAGCCCCTAGTCAGAGATTCTTAGTAAAATTAGAGATTTGTGTGGTCATAACCACAGTCCAATTCTAGAACATATCCACCATCACAGGTAGTGTCCATCTCTGGTCCTTCCCATTGGTCTCTTCCCACTTGCCCTAGGTAACCACTAATGTGTTTTCTGTCTCCACAGATTTACCATTCCTCAACGTCTCATACAAACAGAATCATACACTATATAGTCTTTGATGTTTAGCTTCTCTCTGCATGTTTTTGGGGCTCAGCCAAGTCACTGCGTATGTTCCTTTTTATTGCTAAATAGAACTCTGCTTCTGCTAGGCCTGGAGGGATGGCTCTGCAGTTAAGAGCACTGGGTATTCTTCCAGAGGACCTGGGTTCAATTCCCAGCACCCACACGGCAGTTCACAGCTGTCTGTAACTCCAGTTCCAGGGCTTCTGACACCCCCACACACACAGAGACATACATGCAGACAAAACTCCAATGAACATAAAGTTAAAATAAATTTTAGAAAGAATTCTGCTTTATGGGTATATTATATTTGCTTGAACATTTGCTTTTTTGGAATATCTGAATGGTTTCTAGCTTGGACCTTTTCTGAGAAATTCTTTTGGAGGGGTCTCTCCTCTGGAGCTCACTATGTAGATAGATCAGGTTGACTCAAAACTACAGTAATCTGCCTGCCTTGGCCTCCTGAATGCTAGGTCTCATGGTAGGCACTATCTTGCCCAGTGAGAAAATCTTTACAGTTTTATTTGTGTGTCTCTGTGTGTACACAGGCTCATGCGTGCCATGGTGTTTGTGTGTAGGTTCTCTTCTCCCGTGGTGGGATCAGGGCATTGACCCAGCTGGGTTGTAAGTCACGTGGGTCAAGCACCTCTGCCAGATCACCTCACTGGCCCTCTTCCAGTGCATCTACTGTGGGATTGTGTGTGGACATCCATTGTATCTTTCTGGGAGTGAATGTTTTAGGCTGTGTGGTAACTCTGTATCTTTAACATTTTGAGGAACTGTCAAATCTTTTGAAAATGGCTTCTTTCGATTTCTATTTCTTTCTTTAGAACATGAGCTTTAGTTCTCTATGTCCTCCCTTTTGTTTATTGTTTTACCTTTTGTTTGGTTTTCCTTTTGTTTTATGTTTTTGAAAAGAGGTCTCTATATTATGTAGCTCTGGCTGTCCTGGAACTCACTCTGTAGTCCAGGCTGGCCTCAAACTCAGAGATCACCTGCGTCTACCTCTCAAGTGCCGGGATTGATAGAGCCTGCCACCACACCAGCTGTTTTAGGAGTGTGTAGTGATTTCTTGTTTTCTAAATATTGGTGACAGTAAGCACCATTTCACTTACTACTCTTGTATATTTTAGTGAACTATCTAGTCACATTGTTGTTCATGTTGCGACTTGGTTATTTGTTTTATTACTGAATTATAAGCCATTTTATATTCTAGGTGAAATCCTATATTTCAGATATGATATCCACATCTGTTTTCTTTGGGACTTGTCTTCATTGTTTCGTTTTGTGACGATTTTCTTCTTTTGGGGGTGTTTCACTATGTTGCACTGGCTGACCTGGAACTCTATGTAGACCAGGTCCTGGCCTCAGACTCAGAATGCTAGGATCAAAGGCATGCACCACCATGTCTGGCTATCTCTTTATTTTTTATTACATTCATGTGTATGTGTGTGAGCACTTGGGTGCCATAGCACTCATGGAGGTCAGAGGACAATTTGAAGTAGTTGTTCTTTCCTTCCACCTTGTGGATCCCAGGGACTGAACTCAGGAGTTCAGATCAGCTTTGGCAGCAAGTGCCTTAACCCACTGAGCCATCTCCCCAGCTCATTTTATAAACAGCTTTATTTTATAAACAGTGCCTTTTGAAGCATAACTACGTTCTACCATATGAAAGAACTTGTGGTGCTTGTTTTTCTTTGCCTATCTTTTCTCACTTAAAATAATGCCCTGCAGTTCTATTCATTTTGCTGCAAATGACAGATTTCATCGTCTTTTGTGGCTGTATAATGTTCTGTTGGGTATAGGTACTGTTGGGGACCATGCTTCAACAAGTAAACCACTTACCAGGTAGAGATGTGAGGATTAGAAAAGTTAGCAAAGAGCAAAGTCAAAATGATAAGATAGTACCGGGAGGGAGTTTCAGTGAATACTAAAATTTGCCTGTGTTTAATTTTCCATACACTTTTTTTTTTTTCGAGACAGGGTTTCTCCGTAGCTTTTTGGTTCCTGTCCTGGAACTAGCTCTTGTAGACCAGGCTGGCTTCGAACTCACAGAGATCCACCTGCCTCTGCCTCCCGAGTGCTGGAATTAAAGGTGTGCGCCACCACCGCCGGGCTTCCATACACTTTTATACCCCAATACCAGAGGTGAAAGAGGACAGAAGACTGCTTTAACCTGATACAAAGGACAACTAGAGCAGTTTTTTGCTTCAGTACTTCGAGCCATCAAGTCATTAACATTCTGTTGTCTAGGCAGTGAGAATCCTGAAGGCAGCTACTCCCAAGGTCAAACCTCCTATTTCAAAAGGAGCGGAAGTATGTTTGAATATCCTGACCGTTGGTCAGGGGGCAGTGGATTTACCTATATGGGCCATCTTAATGTCAGAAACACCAAGCAACCACATCCTAGGTCAGGGTGTAGCCACACTTGTTCTCAACAGCTGTGAACAAGCTAAAACTCTGACCTTCAGACAAGATGGAAATGGGCTCACACTTTTACCTCCACATACTCCTCCCTTTTTGTCAATTTTAATAGAGCCTGAGCTTCTGCTCCAGGACAGACAATTGTGTCTGGAAAGTGATGAGTTTCCTGCAGCTAAACTAGTGGCAAAACTCTTTCCCTCCTCCTGACTCTGTCTGTCTGTCTCCCTCTCTTCCTCTGCCCGCCCCCCTCTGAAGGAGAGCATCAAGTGGTCAACTCAGCAGTAAGAAGCACATGATCCATGTTGTGAGCAGGGAAAGGGAGTAGAGATAATGACAAGTTTTATGTCAGAGCTGGAGCTGAATGACAGCTTACCTAACGTTCACAGGGTAAGGTGCTGGGATGTAGGAGTGTCAGCAGGTCTAACCATCTTGATTTAATCTGATTAACCATCTGATTAAAAAAGTTAAAGATGAAGTTGTTCAAAAGTACCTAAAACTGAAAACTTCCACATCCAGGTACTGGTTTTTGGTTGGGCCAGCTTCCTAGAAACCCTTTCTGTTCAGCTAGGACTTTGTACAGAACATCAAGGTGCCCTCTGTTAAGACTGCTGACTCTCAGTAATGCAGACCCAGACTTGTGTTCTTCTCTATGGAGGCCAGGATATACTAGGCTAAAAAGTTACCTTCCACCAGGGAGAGGGATTAGATTGCTGCATTTACACTGTCCAATTACTTGGAACGTTTGCTACAGCCAAACATGGTCCCATGCGTGTAATCCCACACTTGGAAGCAGAAGCAGGTTGATCTCTGTGAGTTCAAGGCCAGCCTGGTGTACAGAACAAGTTTTAAGGCCACATAATGGGCTAGAAAGTTGGCCCAACAGTTTAATGCACTGACTGCTCTTGCAAATATCCAAGTTGGATTTCCAGAACCACTTGGCAATTCACAACTGTCTGTGACTCTGTTTTTCTGGGATTCAGTGCCCTCTTACGGCCTCCATGGTGTGCAGGCATGCATGCAAGCAAAATACCGATACACATGACATAAAGTAATTTTTTAAATTCAGTTATAGACCTATCTAATAAGGAATGCATATCTATGTCTTGGATGTGTGTCTTAGTTAGGGTTTCTATTGCTATGAAGAGACACGGTGACTTCGACAGCCCTTATAAAGGAAAAATATTTAATTGGGGTGGCTTAACATTTTCAGATGTTCAGCCCATTATCATGGTGCTTCATGGCGGTATGCAGGCAGACATGGTACTGGCTCTATCTTGATCAGAAGGCAATAGAAAGTGAACTGTCTTACTGGATGTAGCTTGAACATATATGAGACCTCAAAGCCCGCCTCCATAGTGAAACACTTCCTCCTGTAGTACCACGCCTAATCCAACAGTGCCATACCTCCTAATAGTGCCATTCCTTCTGTGAGCCATTCTCTTTCAAACTTCCACAGTGTACTTTGTCCTTTTCCTAAATAACTATCTCTCCTGTAATGTTGTTAAAACTATTGATGTTGTTTGAGATGGGAATCTTACTATGGAGCCCTACACAGCCTGGAACTTACTGTGTAGACTAGACTGGCCTTGTACTCAGAGATCTAGCTGCCTCTACCACCTGAGTGCTGTTATTAAAGGTGTGCACCTCTTCATCCTGCTTTAGAACTTCTTCATGAGAAGTCCTCAGCTACACTTTCTAAGTTAGTGTGTGGTGGTGTGAGCTTACAGTCATCTACCAAGACAGGAGTTAAAGTGTGTGGTGCTGTGAGCTTACAGTCACATCTGCCGAGGCAGAAGGGTCCCTTGAGCCAGGAATTCATGGGCAGCACAGGACAACCTCGTCTCACCTGACAGCAGTGTGTGACTGGGTGACTAAGAACACTGGCCTATATAAAATAAGTAATAATGCAGTTGGTTTGTGAGCATAGCACGAGCCATGGCCCAGTGACAAGGAGAAGCAGATCTGCACATGTGTTGGAATGAGGTGTCCCATTCCTCAGTGCCTGTGTTTGGGACAGATCGGAGACAGTGCTGTTGAGGATATATCTGTCAACTTGTATGAATTCTCTTCCCTCTGTAGTGGAGCACATGATCCAGAAGAACCAGTGTCTCTTCACCAGCACCCAGTGTAAAGTTTGCTGTGCCATGCTGATTTCTGAGTCCCAGAAGCTGTCACATTACCAGGTAGGCCTTTTCTACCATAGCCATGAACTTACCTTCTGGTCTAGTGCCAAGCCCTTGCCTCTCCTGTCTTGCACAGTGAATGCTGATTCTTCCAGATGTTTCCTTCATTCATGATTGCTTGGGACTTGAAGATTGACTTAATTTCTGTGAATCTCATCTCTCCCATTTGAATAAATGGACCATTATGTAGGTCTTTCTGTACAGCGCGGTGTAGTGGGAAGTGTGAGCTTTGGCTTTACACACACTTGAATTTGAATCCAGCTCTGTTACATCATCTTATAGGCAAGAAATTTCACGTTTGGCCTCAGCTTCTACATGTATATAATAACAATATTCTTATAGATTGTTAAGGCTAATGTAATAGCAAGTCAAGGGTCTAGCACATAGTAGGAACTCAGTAAATGAGTTTTCTTCCCCCATTTTCTTATCCTCAGTTTTGTGAGGAGGATTCAGGTGAGAATCTGCTGTATCATGGCTGCCTTCTCTATGAAATGGCATTGGCTATCTTTGATCTTTCTCCTTGGATTCTTGCAGAGCAAAAAACATGCCAACAAAGTGAAGAGCTACCTAGCAATCCATGGAATGGAGACACTAAAAGGGGACGTGAAGAGGTTAGACTCAGATCAGGTAAGCTTTGTGGAAATTGCTTGCTTCCCCAGCAGGTTGGTGTGGTGTGAGCACAGACTTTGATTCAGCCTGACTTGGCTGCAGTCTCAGCCCTGTTGTCTAACTTGGGCAAGTCTTATAACTCCGAGCCTTGACTTCTTCCTCTGTTAACAACAACAGTACTTCCAAGCATGGTGGTGTGTACAAGTGACCAAGCACTTGGAGGTGGAATCAGGAAGATCAGTAGTTCAAGGTTATATTCCTCTGCATAGCAAGTTTGAGGCCAGCTTGGGCTACAATGAGAGACTATCTCAAAACAAGCAAAAAGATTATTATAGCTGCCTTTCAGAATTTTTCTTAAGTTGAGAAAAGACTTCTAAAACACCACCAGACCCCAGACCTGCCCTACAGTAGCAGTTCTGCAAAGGGAGCCATTCATTGCTTTCCCACCTGGAGGGTTACCGAAACAGTACAAGAGAGGAAGTAGAGGGATGTTCATTTTCTTGAGCTGTAGGGGAAACAAGCTTTAGCATTTGGCCTGGGCAATATACCTCCTCCAATTATGAAGCAATTGCATTTATTTCCTATTTCATAGTTACTATAAGAATTATTCTGAGACAAACTCTTAATTCCTTGAGTGTGCTGTGACTTCCAGAGTGTAGAAGTTGAGCACATTATGGGCCGGAAGTCAGTGCACACGGCTCTAACTCACTAGAGCCTTGAGCAAGTCACCTCACCTCCCTGACTTCGCTCGTGAAGTGGAGGTGGTCTGGAGGTGGTCTGGCCTCCTTAGTGTTGTGAGGTAGAGTTTCGTCCCCAGTAAATGCTTGGTAAACAAGGGTTAATTTCCAGACCACCTTCCTGCTGCAGTGGCCGGTGGTTTAAAGGGGCCTTGCTTCCCTTCTAAAAATCATCTTCTAGTTGCCCTCATGGCTGAGATCCAGATAGGAAAAATCATTTCACCTCTCTGCATTTCAGTTCTTCAGATGAGATCACAGTACCCATCACCAGCTAGGAATTACTAACCTCAAGATGTCTTCAGTGAGAAGGTTGAGAAATGTTAAAGAAATAGCTTATTGCCGGGCGGTGGTCGCACACGCCTTTAATCCCAGCACTTGGGAGGCAGAGGCAGGTGGATCTCTGTGAGTTCGAGACCAGCCTGGTCTACAGAGCTAGTCCAGGACAGGCTCCAAAGCCACAGAGAAACCCTGTCTCAAAAAAAAACCAAAAAAAAAAAAAATAGCTTATTGAGAAGACAGACTTTTCAGGAAGATTAAAATACACTTCCTAGCATAACCATAGCAACAGATGGAACCTGGTGGTGTACTTGTTCTAAGAGCCCTGGATATGTACTGTGTGCTCGACACAGCAGGGTCTAAGGATAGGTAGCAAAGAGAAGTCAAGGTGTCCACAGCCAGCATTGCACTTGAGCTCATATCAGAGCCTCCTAAGCTGTTCTGTCTGTGTAGGTGACAGAGGGTGTGTTAGAAATCTGATGGACTTGGAGTACAGGTGAGGAGCAAGGTTAATTCTTCCTGCGTATGCGTACAAGGTTAATTCTTCCTACGTATGCGTACAAGGGGGCTTGGGTATTGGATGGCAGATAGCAGACCTACTGCCCGGCAGGAGGGTGGAGGAATAACCCAAGCAAAGCAAAAAAGTAACAGAATAAAATGGAAGTTATGCACAGTCCGGCCATGAAACGGCTGGAGAAGACTGCTCCAGGCATGTTGGGGTTAGCGTGTGCAGGGGTCTTAATGTGCGCCAGCCACGGGCAGGGGAACCATTGAAGGTTTTCTGGATGCGCAATGGCATGATCAGACTGTGTTCTCTCTCCCAACCAGAAGAGCAGCAGAAGCAAAGACAAGAACCACTGCTGCCCCATCTGTAACATGACCTTTTCCTCCCCTGTTGTGGCACAGTCGCACTACCTGGGGAAGACCCACGCAAAGAACTTAAAGCTGAAGCAGCAGTCCACTAAGGGGGCAGGTACTGGCTTTCTGAGTAGTGCTTTTGGGACCCCTCCCGTCCTCAGAGCACCAATGCCAGGTGCTTCCAGAATGCTCACTGGGGCCTCAGACTTGGAGAAGTTGCTTTTAAGAGCCCTGAAAGTTCCACCTAAGAGTTGGGGATGTAAGTCAGTTGGTAGAATACTTCCCTAATGTGCATAAAGGCTCGGCTTTCATTCCCAGCCTTACATAACCAAATGTAATCTCAGCACTCAGGAGGTGGAGGCAGGAAAACTAGTAGTCCAAGGTCATCCTCAGCTGCCATAGGGACTTTAAGGCCAACCTGAGCTACATGAGACCTGGCTTCACTAAAATTCAGCCTCAGACTTGCTTTACTTCACTTCCCCCTTGTGGTCTGCCACATTTTCTATAGAAGCTCCTCAGCCAAGGCTTGTCCTGACCAATGACTGTAACTCAGAGAGCGGAAGGCTGACACACACCGTGAGCATTCTTGCTTGCCTCTTCCTCCCACCACCCACCTGCTCTTACTACTAAATGTTGCTAGTTGACAGCTAATTCCCTGTCTTTCTCATGAGCTCAGGTTATGCCTGGCTCACTTGGACCTACAAAGGCTGCCTGTTCTATAGGTGCTGGCTAGGCTTCAAAGCAGCGCACTCCAGTGTTGCCCAGCAAGCTGTTAGAAACTGCCATGAACCCACTTCCCGGCACTAACTTCACAGTTGCCTCCTTTGTCCTGCCACCATTGGCCCAACTTTCACTTTCATCTTGAGTCCTGGGGTTCTTAACCTAGGCTAACTGCAGTTAGTCAGAAGTGGGAGACCTTTGATTTCTGGGATGTGTGTGTATGTGTGTGTGTGTTCTCTGTGTTGGACCAAGACCACACTATTGATAGAACTTTTGATTCTTTTTGTTTTACTGCATTAATGAAACAAAACAATTGTGCTTTAGAAGGTTTTGAAGATGGGATAGAAAAATCTACTCATAATTATACCCTCTATTTATTCCCAAATCTATTACCTACAGTGTGAAACAATAGCACGTAGACTCTGAAGTCAGAACAGCACAGGCTTCAGTCCTGGCGCTTTCACTTGCCATCTGTGCCTGTGAAGTATCAGTGCCACCTGCTTTGAAGCTTGTGAGGGTAATTTCCAAACCACTGGGCAGCCAGGTGTAATGGCACACCTCAGATCCCAGCACTTGGGAAGTGGGGGCAGGAAGAAGAGGAGTTCAGTGCCATCCTTGCCTAAGTTTGAGACCAGCCTGTCCTATATGGCACCCAAAAAATAAATAAGAGGCAAACACCACATCCTCCCCCACCCCCAAGAAAAATCTAGGTTACAGCAGATTCTCACTAATAACAGCTATTGTCATTATTGTTGTCACCATTAAAAAGCCAGAGTGAAATCCCCTCATAAAATGCACTTATTGATCCGGAAGCCACTATCTCGAGCAATGATTCTCAGTCTCCCTAATGCTGTGACCCTTTAATACAGTTCCTCATATCGTGGTGATCCCCAGCCTAAATTTTTTTTGTTACTGCTTCATAACTAATTTTGTTCCTGTTATTAATCATAATGTAAATATCTGTGTTTTCCAATGGTCTTTGGTGACCCCTGTGAAAGGGTCGGTCGTTCAACCCCCAAAGGGGTCGAGACACACAGTTGAGACACACTGATCTAGAGTGTGCCATTGACCTTGCTTGTGGCTGATTTGTTAACTTAGATGAGGACTAATTGAGTTTTGTCTGTGAAGTGAGGGCTGGTAACAACAGCACCACGATGTTTAAGCATTGGGCTGAGGAAACTGAATAGAACTGAATTCATAATGTCATAGACTTCACATCCCACAGATGAGAAAATTCTGTGGAAAGAGCCTTACCGATACTTCTGCGCAGTAGTGACTTTGCACACTCTGTGTGTTGCATCAACCATTTTTGTTCCCCTGGTACTTTTCATTCAGCCTCATAGTTTAAGCATATGTTCATATTACTTCATGAGTTTATTGTAACTTTATTCCTGAAATTAAACATTTGTCTATACAAATAAATTGGAAGGAATTTCCATAGTTTTACCATTCAGAGTGTTAGCCTTTTAGAGTACTGTTGCTCTTATGATCTTGTGCACTGTGTGTATGCGTATATCTGCTTGTATTCTATTTGTTTTATGTTCATCCAAGTTGTCTCCATGTATATGTGCTTATAAACATAGAATATGTAATTTTCTGTTTGTTAAAATGATGCACATACATGAATAATTCCATTCAATATGCAAAATGTTCAAAGAAGCAAGTAAAATGCCACCCAACTCCTACTTCTAGGAGAGCACTGTTAACAGTGGTTCATGCTTAGAATCTTTGTACTTGAGAAGCTGAGACAGGAGGATTGCTGAGTTTAAGACCATCCTGGGCTACAAGTAAGTTCTAGGCCAACCTGGGTTATAGAGTGAGACCCTGACTCAAAAGAATAAGCAAACAAATATGCTGCATGACATGCTATCATGTATGCATGTGTGTGTACATGTAGGTGACATTTTTAAATGCCAGTGTATTTATATAGATTACACAAAAAACTTTTAGCATTGACATGACCATATTGTCATGACAATATGGTCCTTTTATATTAATTCATTTAGTATAACACTTCCTGTTAGATGATAGAGAGATGACTCAGCAGTTAAGAGTGTGTTCTAGCAGGGCAGTGGTGGCGCACACCTTTAATCCCAGCACTTGGGAGGCAGAGGTTGCAGATCTCTGAGTTCAAGGGTTCGAGGTCAGCCTGGTCTACAAGAGCCAGTTCAGGACAGTCCTCAAAGCTACAGAGAAACCCTGTCTCAAACCCACCCACCCAGAAAAAAAGAGTGTGCTCTACTCTTACAGAGGAACCAAGTTAGATTCCCAGCACCCATGTGAGGTGACTCAAAATCCTGGTAACTCCAGCTCCAGGGGGCTCCATCACCTCTGGCTTTCATGGGTACTGCTCTATGTGCGCTTACCACACAGGCACATGCAATTAAAGTCTTGGATTGAGCCTGGCGGTGGTGGCGCACACCTTTAATCCCAGCACTTGGGAGGCAGAGGCAGGCGGATCTCTGTGAGTTCGAGACCAACCTGGTCTATAAGAGCTAGTTCCAGGACAGGCTCAAAACCACAGAGAAACCCTGTCTCGAAAAACCAAAATAATTAAATAAAGAAATAAAATAAAGTCTTGGATTAAAAAGAAAAAAACATTCCCCAGGTTATTGCAAACTTTTTGTAGGTGTTTTTAACAATCATGCAAACTACTTGATGACTCTTCTAGTGTTGACTCTTTACATTTCCTCCCGCTTTTCCTGTGTTATAAAAACATAGCAGACATCCCTGGAAAACACTCTGCATGTTTCCCATATTTCTCTAGAGCAGCGCTCACTCTTGCTGGCGCTGATGTCCATTAAATAGCTCCTCTAACTCTGCGACGCACTGCACTACTTCCCTCCAGTAGGAGTTTTTGACAATATCTATTTTTGTGTATATGGATGTTTTGCCTGCCTGTATGTCTGTGCACCGTGTGCGTGTAGTGCCCACAGAAGAAGGCATCAGACCTCTAGGACTGGAGTTGCAAGCAGATGAGAGCCACCATGTGGGTGCTGGTACTACCATTGCGGGGCCAGGTCCTGTGAAAGAGCAGTCAGTACTCTTAACCACTGAACCTTCTCTCTAGCCCCATCCTCTAGTATGTTTTGAATAACCTTGGACCATCAAGGATTGTGCTTGCCACACAATCCTGGGTGTCTGAGTCTGACTCTCAGACCCTATGTGGAAGTGAAGAGAGAAAACGGAATCACAGAGTTGTCCTCTGACCTCCACACATGTACTCTGGCATGCACACCTATGAGCACACAAACATGTATACACATAGCATCCACTTTGAAAAGGCCATCTACATGGCCTGCTTTCAACATCCCATGTCGACCTATGAGAGGATCATACATATGTCCATAGCAGACTCAGATTAGCTGGTTTCTTTTTTTAAGAAAAGATTCATTTCCGTTGTTTTTTAGATTTATTTGTTATGTATACGGCGTTATGCTTGTATGTATTACTGCATGCCAAAAGAAGACACCAGATCTCATTATAGACAGTTGGGAATCACCCTGTGGTTGCTAGGAATTGAATTTAGGACCTCTGGAAGAGCAAGCAGTGCTCTTAACCACTGAGCCATCTCTCCAGCCCTCATTTCTATTTTGTAAAGTTTGTGTGTATGTGTATACATGTGTGTATATGTGTGTACACTTGCCTGCATAGGCCAGAACAATTGGATAAAGGCTTTGTGAGCCACCTGACAGGGATGCTGTGAACTGAACTCAGATTCTCTGGAAGAACAGTAGTCATTCTTAGCCACTGAACCTGCTCTTCAGCCCCTGACAGATTGAATTCCTAGCGGAGAGTCAGGAATATTTTCTAAGGATGCCTGCATCAGTGTTAACCCTCAGATCTACTTGCTGTACACTTGAGCCTGGGGTAGAGCAACAGCTCCAGGGTCACACAGTCCAGGGTTCTCTCACTGATTTGGTCATCTTGAGAAAGCAATTTTTACTGTCTAAGCTTCAATCTTCTCTGTAATATGGCAAAATGATGCCTACTTCATTGGAGTACTTCTGAGAACAAAAGGAAAATGTGTATACAAAGTGTATAAATGTTACTGCCACCATTTCTTCTCCCTCACATTGCCTAAATTCATTGTAGTCTGATAGGCATCTCTGTCAGGTGTGGTGGCACGCTCTTCAGTCTTTGCCTGGTTTACATCTAGCCAGAGAGCTATAGAGCTACATAGCAAGGCCCTTTCCCAAAGATAGGTAGGTAGGTAGGTAGATAGATAGATAGATAGATAGATAGATAGATAGATAACAGTTCCTAATCTGGTTGCCTGGCTCTATATGGGCTCAGAGCTTGAATGTCTATGTCAGCTCTGTAACTGAGGTATTGTATTTTGAGGATGGGAATGAAAATTTCACATTTCTTATCCTACTCACTTTGAAATTCCAAGACATTCTGAGGACTAGAGAGACTGAAAGTATGTTTGCTTGGTCTGTTCCAGTTAGGCAGCAATATTCCAAGTTCAGAGCCTCTTCAGAGTGTGAGGACATCAGGGCTCATATTCCTAAAGCTGGCAAACAAATCAGTTGTTCATTGCATCTGATCAGATCTTGCCAGTTTTCCCAATTGAAGAGGCATTTATGGTATGAGCCTCACAGGCAGTGCCCCATTTCCAAGTGAGATGGGTCACGCTGCCTTTCTTCCACTTCAAGCATACTCAAAAGCCTGGCACCTTCTGGGTTGTTTTTTTCATTGTTTCTGTTTGAACTCTCTCACCACAGCTCTGTCGAAACACCTTACAAATCCTTTCCTTGTGGCCTCCACCTTAGCCTTGCACCAGAATAGAGAGATGCTAGACCCAGACAAGTTCTGCAGCCTCTGCCATTCAACCTTCAACAACCCTGTCATGGCTCAACAACATTATATGGGCAAGAAACACAGGAAGCAGGAGACTAAGCTCAGACTCATGGCGCACTATGGGCGACTGGCAGACCCTGCTGTCTCTGACTTACCAGGTGAGAGAGCCCGGCTCACACACAGAGCTGGACCAGGGACTGAGCATTGGAGCTCCCTGGATGACCCAAGTGTGTGTTGCTTCCTGCCTCTTCTAAAGCAGGGTTTGCAAACACAGGTAATCAGGAAGCCAGGCTTGGTGTGCACTCCAACACTTAGGAGAACGAATCAAGGGTGTCCTGGGGTACATAGTGGGAACCTGTCTTTAGGGGATATAGGGGAGCAAGCAGGAAATTCAGTAAGTTCCAAAGATAACCACAGTCAGAGTGTATAACACTCTGAGTTCTACTGGTGTTGCTGGTTTTTGATTTTAAAGTACTGTGGAAATCAGGTATGGTGCACGCCTTTAATCTCAGTATTCAGGAGGCAGAGGCAGATAGATTTCTGTAAGTATAAGGCTAGCCTGGTCTATATAACCAGCTCCAAGACAGCCAGGACTACAGAGAGACATGTTTTAAAAAAGCTATGGAAATCCAAATTAGTGTTTTTATTATCATTATTGTTAGTTTTATTTGATACTGAGCATGAAATATAGGAGTTTGTGCATGTTCAAGAGCCACCAGTTTATAATCTCTGATTTAAATATGTGTGTGTGTGGGTATACACACATATACATTTATATTGTGTTTTATATATATTGTTGGTTTGTTTTGAGACAGGATTTCTTGGTGTAGCTCTGTCTGGAACTGGTTATGTTGACCAGGCTAGCTTCAGATTCATAGATCTGAACCACCACCACCTGGTTTAAAGATTTTTTTTTTTAAAGAGTCAAAAAAAAAAACCCGCTGGGCAGTGGTGGCACGCCTTTAATCCCAGCACTCAGGAGGCAGAGGCAGGTGGATCTCTGTGAGTTCAAGGCCAGCCTGGGCTACAAGAGCTAGCTAGTTCCAGGACAAGCTCCAAAGCTACAGATAAACTGTCTCGAAAAAGGAGAAGGAAAAGAAGTGTGGCCAGCAGTGGTGGTACGCTCCTTTAATCCAGCACTGGGGAGGCAGAGGCAGGCAGATCTCTGAGTTTAACGCCAGCCTGTTCTACAAAGCTAGTTCTAGGACAGCCAGAGCTATGCAGAAAAGAAAAAAAGATTTTTATTTGTTTATTTTTGGTTCTTCCAGACAAGGTCTTTCTGTGTAACAGCCTTGTCCATTCTGGGACTCGCTTTGTAGACCAAGTTGGCCTCCAACTCACAGAGATCCGCCTGCTTCTGCCTCCCAAGTGCTGGGATTAAAGGTGTGTGCCACCACTGCCCAGCAAGATTTATTTTTTTTTTAATTATGTGTTTATGTGTATCTGTGGGTGTGTAAGCACAGATACCCAAGGAGACTAGAGAGTTACAGATAGTTGTGACACCTGATGGGAACTGAACTCGGGTCCCTTGGAAGAACGGCAGGTGCTCTTAACTCCCTAGCCATCTCCCCAGCCTGATTTAAACTCCCTAGGTAACATCCACATTGCTTGATTGAAGGTCTCAGTGGTCTCTACCAAAGTTTGAGCATCCTCAGGATAGCTCTTTCCTTGGCATTTTAGATCTACCTGTATCACTAGGGAATCATGGTGAAGGAGGGGGCCATTCTAGCTTCCTTAACCTCAAAATGTCACCTGGCATCATGGGAATGGGCATTTACAAATAATTCTGGGCCTTTCCTTTTGGTCTACAGTGTGTTTGGGGCTGGGAATATTACCCAGTTGGTAGAGTGTTTGCCTAACATGCACACGAAGTCCTGGCTTCAGTTAGCAGCACCACATAAACAGCACAGCAGCACACACCTGTAATTCCAGCACTTGGGAGTTAGAGACTGGAGGATTAGGAGTGCACACACATAAGCAGTTATATAAATAAATAAACAAACAAACAAACAAATAAATAAATGAGAGCAAGGTGATTGTTCCTGCTATGAATATAACCTGCCAGTCTATAAACTCAGAGCAGTCCTGTTTTAGTTTGGTTTGGGGGGTTAGGGTTTATTTTGTTTTCCGAGACACAGTCTCATATAGCTCACGGTGGCCTCAAATTATCTGTGTTTCCAAGGTTGACAACTCCTGACTGCTGGGATTACAGGGCTGTGCCACCATGCTTGGCATAAGCTCAGTCGCAGCAGCATCTTTAGAAGCTGGTGTGCGCACTGGCTCCCTTTTCTCACAGAAGAGGGTTGTCTGAGTCTGAAGCAGTCAGAACACTTGTCTCATTCCCTTAACATCCCACAGAAAACCATTCTTCTCCAGAAGGTCCACTGCATCAGAGGTCACAGCACTGCCCAGCAGAATACTGTACCAAGAACATGCGTGCATCCAAACTAGCATCAACACACTTAACCAGAGTCTTTCCAGTCTTTTAAACATGTGCAGTATGAGAAAAAAAATCCATGAAAAAAATCAACCTGAACCAAAAGTGGTATTTCCACAAGCCAGTAAACTGCCCTTCCTCCTGTGAACTCTGTGACCAAGGCTTCAGGGCCTCTAAGCAAGTGCCTTTACCTTCTGAGTCATCCCACTTCCCCTTAATGTTGACCTCAAATGAATATCCTTTCCTGTTGAATGGGAAGATGGCCTTTCCTTTCTCTGCTCCATTGCTCTACCTGTGTGTATACTCAGCTCTCCCTTATCTCTGACATTTAGCTTTAAACCTATTTATTGTACATGGTCAGCTTGACACAGGAAAAGTTTAAATGTAGGACTCTTTACAGTATACCAAGATAACTATAAGGAATCTGAAAGAAATCTGATGTCAATATTAGACTGTCAGTTGGGTGAGAAGACGATCTTCCTCAGTCTAGTTTTTGTCTGCTCCTACCCAGGATTCTGTTTGGTGTGAGTCAGTGAGAACAGTATTTCCCTTCTCTTTGCTGTGCTTTTCAGTTGTGCCCGTAAAACGCTACTAATCAGTATGTTCCGTAAATGGCTGCGTGAGGTGGCCGCTGCAGAATCTCAGCACTCACAAGGCTAAAGCAGAAAAATAGTGAGTCCAAGCCTGTCCTGGGCTGTACATTGAGATCTTGTCTCAAAACACACACAGGCGCGCACACAACACACACAGAAGGGAAAAGAAGGGGGAAGAAAGCAGGCGAGAGAGAAGAAAAAAAGAAAAAGTTGTGGCATTTGTCTGTAATCTGAGGCAGGATGATAGTGAGTTCCAGGCCAGCCTGTGCTGTAAAAATAGTTCAAGGCCAACCTGAACTACATAGCAAGACCCAGTCTCAGAACTTAACAAACAAGTTCAGTAAGATATGGTACAATGAACAAATCAGCTTTTCATGCACCAATAACAAAACTGCTAAGAAAGACATCAGAAAAGCTATCTCCTCATGACTACATAAAAGAAAAAAATTGAAGGAAGTGAAAGTTCTCTTCAATGGAAATTATAAAACTAATCAAAGGCATTGAAAAGGGACCTGGGGAGATGGTTCGTTGGTAAAATTCCTGCCCCACAAGCAGGAAGGAAGGCTCCAGCATCCCCAGGAGAGCTGGGTGTGATGGTGCACTAATATACCATTGTGCCAGCAGGACAGAGTTAGGTGGAGCTAGCCAGTTAGTAATTTCTGGGTCCAGTGAGAATCAGTCTCAATAAGAAGAGCAATAGAAAAAGATACCTCATATCATTCAACCTCTGGCCTCCACAAGCATGCATGCTCACAAAGTACACACAATAAGTAATAAAATTGAAGAAGAACTGGATAGAGCAATACACACATGAACCCGAGGCAGGAGAATTGCCTCAGGTTCAAGACCCATATGAGCTACATGGCAAAACCCTCTCCCAAAGAACAAATAACCAAGCACCATCATCTCTAAGATGGGGGCTTGTTCTGAGCTGGTAAATTTAATACTGAAATATCCATACTTTAAGTGATTTGTGGATTTGGGACAATTCCTATCCAGATGCCAGTGACATTCTTCACAAAAGTAGAATGTGTGTGGTGTAACACATGACCTCCAGCAGCAAAGGCAGCCCTGAGAAAGAAAGCAAAATTTTGCAGATTTTCCGAGCATACTACAAAGCTACAGTGAGCCAGGCCTGGTAGCACTCCTCAGAATCCCAGAACTTGAAAGGTGACAGAGGAAGATCAGGAACCAGAGATCATCCTTGGCTGCATAGATCAGCTGAGTTCCATGAGACCAAAAATGCCTGTCACCTGTAATCCCAGCAAGCACTTGAAAGATGTAAGCAGGATGATCAGGAGTTCTAGGCCAGCTTTAGCTATACCCAGAGGCCAGGCTAGCCTGGACTGTATAAGACTCTATCTAAACAAAGGGTCTTATTTTCTTTTGTTTTGCCTACAAAGTAGTGGTTTTCATTATGACATTTTTATACATATATATCATAAATCTTTGTTCTTACTAATCCTTCAGCCCCATACCATTCTTTTTCTGTTTATTCTTTGTTTCTGTTTGGTTTTTTTGTTTTGTTTTGTTTTAGGGGATAGGGTCTTTTTATACAGTTCAGCTGTCTTTGAACTCACAGAGACCCACCTGCCTCTACCTCTCTAGGTGCTTGGATTAAAGGCATGCACCACTATCCCCAACTCTAATACTTTTTTAAAATGCATTTTAACTATCTGAGACTGATACTGACAGTAACCCAATTTTATATATCAGGAGCCCAGAATCTCAGAGAGGCTCTATTTTCACACACAGGGAGATCAGAGCTATAAAACAGCCGGCCTGTGGTCCCACGTGTGAACATGAAGGTGACCTGTGTGCATAGGTGACCTCACTACAGAGCTGTGGGAGTTGAGGGCCTCAGAGCCAGGAGGCAAGGCTGGAGGAACAGAAGTTGAAGCGCAAGAAAGTAGAGGGAATACATGACCCATGTAGACATTTTGGCCTGGCATGGTGATGCATATATAATCCCCGCACTCGAGACTAAGGTAATATAATCGCCATGGCTTTAAGGCCAGCCAGAGCTACATTATGTAGTGAGACCTCATTTCAAAAATAAAATTTAAAATAGCTCTAAAGAGATGGCTTAGCAGTTAACACCACTTGCCGGACTCGAAGAGGGTCTTTCTGTGTCAAGCACCATACCAGGTGGCTAACAACTGCCTATAACTCCAGTTGCAGAGGATATGACTCTGTTCTGGCATCTTGGGCACCTGCACACGTGTACATACAAGCAGACAAGCACATGCACATGAACTAAATTTTTTTTAAAGCCAAGACTTAACTGTTTTATCCTAAGTATGAGTATACTTTGGATAAAGTATAGTATTATGAGTGAAAAATAGTATAATTAATTGGTTTATGGTTAAGGAAAGCTAAGCATTAGAAAGAAAAGGACTTAGCCTTGTCACATGAAACAGCCAGGGTCCCAGTCTGGCCTCTTAGTCCTGACTCGCTGCTGGAGCCCTATGGCCAAAGGCCACTACGTCACCAGAGGGACCAGGTCGTGGTGTCTGAGCCCCAGTGCAAAAAGACTGATTGGTTTTCATAGCAGTTGTGCTCCTTAATTACCGTCGCAGGCCCAAGGAGAGTGGGCCGTTCCGAGACCTCACGAAGGGGTGCCCTTAGTGAGGCCACTAGGCATTGTTCTGCCGCTTCTTTATTAGACGTGTTTATTTTGCTGAGGGTGGTGCACAGGTAAACATCAAAGGGCAACTGGGAGGAGTCAGATCTGTCCTTCCACCCTGTGGGTCACTAGTTCTGAACCCAGGTCATCAGATTGGGGTGCAAGCTGCTTTATCCACTAAGCTGTCTGAGCAGCTCATATTCTGTTCTCCGTTTATTCAGTAAGTCTGGTCTGGCTTTGCTGGGACTAGGAACTGAGATTGCTCGATGAGAATAAGGAGGAACAGCATTGTAGTCTGTGCCTTCAGAAGAACCAGGTTTAAACCCTGGGATCAGCCCCACCCAGCCGTCTTCAGAAGGACCTCTTCATGCTCTGTGCAAAGCAACGTTCTTCCGGTTACCTCTAATTGGATAACTAACTCTCTTCATTTTGATGTGTGTTTCAGCCGGGAAGGGCTATCCCTGTAAGACGTGTAAGATAGTGCTGAACTCCATAGAACAGTACCAAGCTCACGTCAGTGGCTTCAAACACAAGAACCAGTGAGTAGCATCCTTTGAAGTTGAAGAGTCTTCAGCAGGAAGCTGGAGTTTCTCAGTCGGGAAGTTCTCTGCTTAAATCAGTTAACAGACAGTGTCTCGGGGTTCCCTCATCAGCATGTGGACAGACGAGGCCGAAAGTTCCGGTAGAGATGCACAGACAATGTCCTTTGTGGTTTCCAGAGAGCACCTGGGTTTCTTGGCGTGTAGGAAAACATGATTTTCTACAATTATTGAACAATTAATTCAGTTTCATTAAATCCTCAGGAGAGCTCCACTAGAACACCTCTGTCACCTTGTGTCACTTAGGTTGAGTGGCTTGCCCTGGGTCACACAGCAACTTGGAGTTAAACAAACGTTGACACCCTTGAGGCTGCAGACTGTTGAGTTTGCTCTCCTGCTGCCTCCTGGAGCTCATTAGCCTGCCTCACCTTACAAGGCTATGTAAGGATCAGAGGCAGCAATGAAGAGTAACTATAAATAAGTTTGCTATTAAGATAAATTCTCTTGCTGGATGGTGGTGGTGCACACTCTTAATCCCAGCACTTGGGAGACAGTGTCAGGGGAATAATCTCTGAATTCAAAGCCAGCCTGTTCTCCAGAGCAAGTTCCAGAATGGCCAAGGCTACATATAGAAACCCTATCTCAAAAGAACATTTGAAAAAAAGACAAATTTTCTTTTTTCATTATAATTGTGCTTGTGTGCACACCATAAAAAGGCATCCAGTGCCCTGGAGTTTGAGTTACATTCATTGGTGAGCCCAGACCCAGGTCCTCTGCAGGAGCAGCACCATATTAAAGCAGATAAGCCAAACTTGAGACAAAGATGAAAATCATGTTTTCTCCTTTGTGGATCCTAAATTTCACAAATTTCTAAAGAAACGTTTAAGTTTTTTGAAGTTCAGCTTCATGTATAAAATGAAGGTGCTATTCTTTGCCATACAGAGTTGACATGAGGTCGAATGGGGTAATGGCCTAGCATTCAGTGGCCCTCAGTAAAAATAACCTCATCCTGGCATTGTTCTAACATGTGAGGAGAGCCGTACGATGTTAGCATAGGCTGCTGAGTGTATGTGCCACACACTTACCCTGTGCCTTTGTTCTTCTCAAATTACAGGTCACCCAAAACAGTGGTGTCACCTATGAGCCAGATGCCAGAGCAAACGCAGCCCACTCCAAAGGACTTGAGTGTGGTGGAAGACTAGAGATGTCTCTGCCTAGTCAGCCACAAGCCAGTTCCCAGTGATTGTGAAGCCCTTGGCTCCCTCTTCCTCCTTTCTGATATCAGAAGAATATGGAGGCATGAGGCCAAATTGGGTTGCAGACAGCCTCTGACTGGGCCTGGATGGAGCTCCCCCTGGCCTCCTCTTTAGCATGACCCTACAGGTCATGTAGGAGACAGGGCTCCAGAGAAGACCTGAGGTGGTGGTTTAGAGGTTAGCCTTCCCTAGCCCCTCTGGGTGCACATCCTGCCCCAGTATCTGTTTTTCCGCTCAAGGTCAGTGTGGAGCAACTTCCTGCAGACAGAGGTGAGCACCATCTCTGGGCTCCAGGCAGCTCCTGGGACACGAGCTTTCCTGAAGATTTCGTCAGGGGAGCAAACCAGAGACTGAGTGGCTGTCATGTAGAGACTTGGAGCTAATGTGTCACTTCCCATCCCTCAGATGTGCAGGCTTGCCTGGTGTGGATCCTACTGCCGTGAAGTCTCCTGGAACACACATGTAGTCCTGACAGCACTGCCATCTGCTGCCTGTCTCTCCAGTTCCCAAATGGTGCTCGGAGACATCTGCATTTGCTCAGAGCTTGGGGAGACCTGAGTGCCCTGTGGGGTCATGGGATGCATCAAAGGGAGCCTTTGTCGTTTATCAGAGGTGCTGTGACCCAGGGTTGTGTGAGAAAGTCTCCCACCCGCTGTGTTCCTTGACTCTGTGCCTCCTGCCAGCCTCTTGGAAGGCTGCTTGGTGTTCATTCTGTGCCCTTGTGTAGTAGACTATCCCGCCCGGTTGCTGTGGTGCTATCCTTCCCTGTCTTAAGGGAGGTTTGGGGGACCCAGGAAGGAGGACTGGAGACATGGTGTGAGGAAACTGGCCCCAGGCCCTGAACTGAGAGTTCCCTACTGGTGTTCGATGGCCTGAGAATCCACTGAGAGTAGGTTTTTTTTTTCCACATAGCTGTGGACCGAGGAAGTTGGGTACCATATAACGATGGGGGCAGGACTTTAACTTAAACCTTTGGCCACTCAACCATCCAAATAAAGAGTTTCTTCTGTGAACCAGGCTGTAACTTCCGATCTAGGGATTATAGCCAGCCATGTTGATACTACTGTAATATCCCCCCACAGTCAGTAGCCTCCAGGGCCCTCGGATTGATCTTATCCCAGGAAAAGTCTACCTGGTGCCCTAAACCCTGTCCAGTTAATTGACCCAGCCACCTCCATCGTTCATGTAGGCCTCCCGAAGGTCTTGAGAGAATCTGATTTGGAATCTGACTTGTTCTAGAGATGGTCATTCTAGCTGCTGAGTGGAGAGCTGCAGGGGCCAGTGTCTCCAGGGTCATCCCTTTGGGATATATCTCCGTGTATTAACTTCTGAGTTTATGAGCGAGTGGGTGAGAGTGCTAAAGGTCAAGTGTCCTTTTCCTGCTCGGGTTCATGAGCTAGAGGCGTTTCCACGAGCTTCTCCTAGGCCTTCTGGTCCTTGGGAATGATGGGAAAGGGAGCTCCGGCCTTGGAAACTGATGCAGATAGGCCAGACCAAGTAGCCTCAGCTCCAGTTCCCTGCAGCTTTCTGTCCTGGGCACCTGTCCCTAGCCAGCTATGAGAGGCTCTTCTTGGCTCCTAGAGTAGGTTCTCAGCTTTCCACTTCCCAACCATGGGCCACCACCCCAGAATTGTATGCAGCCCAATGTGTCAGAATTAGTAAATATGACTAGGTAAGGAAATGAAGGGGAAGTCATGTATGGGCTGACCCACGTGAGCCTTCGCCTTATAAGACCTTTTTGTCTAGAGTCAGGAGTCCCTACCAGCTCATGTCCAGCACCACTGCTGTGGAACCCTAGGGAGGCTTCCCTTGAAAATCGTGAGTTAGAGAGTTATAGCGGGCATCTGGGAATGCCCCAGACATGAGCGCTACCAGCCTGGAGTATGAAAAGACTGAGAAATGAACATCTGGTCTGTATAACGTTTGAGGTTTTCCAGTTTGTCTGAAGTAGCCAGGCTAGCCTTGAACTGCTGGTCCTCCTGCCTCCACCTCCCTAGACCTGGGGGGTGAAAGGCATGTGCCGCCACATTCAGTTTCATCCATGTTACTGTGTATGTGAGGGGACAGGGTCTCACTATGTAGACCAGGCTAGCCTCAAACTCAGAGATCCGCCTGCCTCCACCTGTGTGCTGGGATTAAAGGTGTATGCCACCGCCACCACCAGTGAGAAGGTGTTTTTTTTTTTTTAATGCTGTCTAGTAACCCTTTGAATCAGTTACAGCCGAGCCTTTCTACAGTTGAACAGTTGTGTTTCTCCTCGAAGGTCATTCCAAATAAAGCTGCTGTCAATTTGATCTGTGCACTTCTTCAGTCAGAAGTGGGATGATGGGAATAGGCAGTTTTTAGCCAAAGTGGTTCTGATGTCCGTCCCCCACTCATGAACGGCCCCAGCTGTCCACTTCTTGTCTGTACTAAGAGTTTTCTGATGGAAGCAGGAAGTTGTACTCGGAGGTCCCAGTCTTCTAATCAAGGACATTCCACTTCCATCATTTAAAAAGAAGTCTTTCTGTATAGCCCTGGCCGTTCTGGAACTGGTGTAAACCAGGCTGACCTCAAACTCACATCCACCTGCCTCTGCTTCCTGCGTGCTGGGATTAGAGGCCTGAGTCACCATAGCCAGCTAGCTTTCAGCATTCTTTGTAAGACTGTTGAGTCAGCAGCCTTGAATGATGTCAGGTGTCGGTGCGCAGGACCACATACAGCAGGTGAGCATCAGAGAGCAACCCAGGAAGGTCTCACAGAGGCATGGGCCCCAGACAGGCAGTCTAGAGCAACGCAGAGAACTCACACTCTGGAATCTGGCCACCAGGGCTCTGCCAGCTCTGCCTCCACAAAGCTCTGTGATCTTGATTAGTTAGCTCCCATCCCAAACCCCCTCTGTGAAACAGTGCCTACCTCAGAGCCTCTGCTTGTGCCAAGCCTGAACTATAGAGAAAGACCATCCTTGTTTAGCACTGTACATAGATGCTGCTTTGAGTCTAGGATAGCCATTAGGAAAATGGGCCGGCTTTGCCATGCAGTGACCCATGCTGGCCACTAGGTGGAAGGCACACCTTTTATTTTATTTATTTATTTTTTTTCCCCTTGTTCAGGGAACTTCAACTCCAGAACCTTAGTGTTTGATTTAACACCAAAAAGAATTGGGTGGTCTTCTCTTAAGTCTCTGTGTTTGATATTTCACTTAACCCTCAAGATAGCTGGGAAAAGATCCAGTTTCACAGGAAAAACATGAGCCATGTCTCAGGGGATCTTACACAACCAAGCAACCTTGAAAAGATCTGGCCTCAAGCTCCCAACTATGTTTTTTTTTAAGTTTTTTTTTAATTTATTTGTTATGTATATAGTGTTCTGGAGACCAGATCTCATTATAGATGGGTGTGAGCCATCATGTGGTTGCTGGGAATTGAACTTAGGACCTCTGGAACAGCAGTCAGTTCTCTTAACCTCTGAGCCATCTCTCCAGCCCCCCCCCCAACTATGTTTTTTTTAATTTCATTTTTATTTATTACTATTTTATGGTTGTTTGGGCACATATGGAGGCCAGAGGACAACTTATAGTACTTCTGTGAGATTCTGAGATTAAGCTCAGGTTAGTGGTATTTTGAACTCCCTGAACCGACTGGCCGGCTCCCAACTTTTTCTGTACTTCGTAGACCACCTCACCTTCCACTATCACTCTTCTGAAAGGCTGCAGAACTGGCCACCTGCCTAAGGGTAATCTGGTGTTTGGCTGGCTTGGGACCCTTCCTTATTTTAGTTTATGATAGGGTCTCGTGCAACCTGGGCTGACCTCCAGCTTCTATGTAGCTAAGGGTAACCTTAAACTCCTGATCCTGTCACTACCTCCCAAGTGCCAGGGTAATGGATGCATGACACCACACTCTGTATTATTTGAGATGGTATCACTATGTAGCCCAGGCTGGCCTTGAATTTACTATGTAGCCCATGTTGGCTTCAACTTCACAGCAATCCTCCTGCCTCCCGAGTACTGGAATTCCGGTACTGAGCCACCACACGACATTCACATACTTTTGTTCTTTTACCCAGGATGCATTTCTGCTTCATTCTTATACCCAGTGGTCCAAAGGAAGGGCTCCCACTCTATTCCAGAGGGTGAAGCTGTGATCCAGCCTAGGTAACCAGAACATGAATTTGGAGCTGTTAGTGACTACCTTTGCCTATGTCTAAGGAAAATCTGCCTGAGAATTAAACCAGCACAAAGAAAACCAGCTAGAAAGTGAGAAGAAACATTGCCGATTCTTCTCTGTCGTGTAGGAGACACTCTGGCTCCCAACCATGCATCTAGGGATAGGAGTAAGGGGCGAGGTGGGGGACGGAGAAGAGAAAGAGGATGGTTGGAAGAAGGCAGACGACGGCCTAATGCAGCTGGTCTTGTCAGCCTGGAGGCCTCTACTGTGCTTAAATATAAAAATAGCATTGGCCCCCAAGGCTAACTTGGCTGCTCTTGCATGTGGCCAGATGCCTCGTGTCCCCTTTAAGCCCTGCCCTTAATATACTGTGTCAGGACAATCTGTTCAATGGCCTGTTTGGGCTTTTGTTTTGTTTTTGAGTCTGTTTCTCCCTGTGCAGCCCAGGCTGGTCTGGACCTCATAATCCTCCTGCCTCAGGCTCCCAAGTGCACACCACCATGGCTGACTCCTAGAAGCTGCTCCCTATGGGCAGTAATTGGGTCATACCACATTGGATCCCTGATGCATAGCAGAGAACCATGTTTTCCTTGAGAGGGGAAATTGTTAAGGTTTTTTTGTTTGTTTTAGGGGAGGTTTGTTCATTTGTTTTTTGTTGTTATATTTTGTTTTGGGAAGGGGTGAGACAGGATCTCACTATGTGGCCAGGCTGTCCTCGAACTTCTAGAGATTGTCCTGCCTCTGCCTCCTGAGTTCTGAGATAAAGGCATGCACCTTTTTTGGTTCGGTTTGTTTTTGTAGTGCTGGGGCTTAGACCCAGGAACTTTAGCATGCAAGACAAGTGCTCTGCCACTGAGCCACTTCCCCATCCAGAACCAAGACTTCTTAAAGGAGATGAGCCTCTAGTGGTCAAAAAGATCAAAGGAGCCAGGTTTCAGGGGTAGGAGGAGGGTTGTAG